TATGGTACATGTGTGGATGAGAACTTTTTCACTAACATATTCATCAAATTTGTTGAAACAGGGCGTGTCAAAAGTGAATCATCCAGAGGTGATTTAAGAATAGTCCTAGTTGTTTGTTTGAACTACCTGTCTTCCCCCAAAGAGCTGAAATGCTAAAGCTATTTAAAAGGATATAAAACTATTTAAAAGGATATAAAAGCTGGGGACGTATTTTTAGTAACAGAAGCATCTGTCTCTGTGAATAAAAGGATGTATAAATGTTTGGATGGAAACAGAAGCACTGGAATGAGTTTCCTCTCTATAGGTATTAAAAATAGCACTTTTAGGAAACTATTGTAAATGTTTAATTTTGTTCCAAATATAGTTGGCATTGGAAGTTGAGCCTTTATTTGAATGCAGACTTTTAACAAAACAAGTTCTACATTTATTATATCTACAAAATGAATATCTACAACACTTAGTTATGAACAAATGGATGAAAATATAGCCATGAATGTTCTAAACTACATTGCAGAACTAATGGAAAAAGGGGGTCCTGGAGGGCTGGTGAAACAGAAACCAGGAACAAAGATGAAATGTATAAAACTCTCTTGAATGATTGTATACACCATCAGAAACAAATCTTATTGCAAAATTCTGAATTTAGTTTGATTTTGGAACTACCTGTTTCATATATTTTAAATAAAATAAAATATATGTACATTTTGTATGTAGATATACATGATTATATTAAGCTTTAAGACTTGAAAATTTCACACCACCATAAGTACAATATTTCATACCAGTTAAATACTTTTAGTTTATAGGTATATTAGGACCATTACCCCACTTTTTTTTTATTAGGACCTACACCCACATTTTTTCTGCTTCCCTGTCACATAGAGCATTGTTTCTCATGTTTGATTTTCAGTCCTTACGCCTTCTTTCAGGTTAATTATATTTCTTATACAGAGCATCTCAATGGACCCTACTTCCTGATCCACTCTGCCTGTTTCTTTTTATTAGTGTATCAAGGCCATCCATATTAGTGATTATGGCCAACCTTCTCTGCCTCATCTCTGCCATGCTGTTTTTCTGCCATTGGTTGTCTACTTTTCCTCTTCATTCCAATTTCTACTCCATTCAGTGGGCCCCTTCAGCCACTCTTCCTGAAACCATGGTCCTTTTTTTCTCTCTCTAGAATGTCCTTCAGTATTTTTTGTACGGTTGGATTGGTAGTCATGAAATCCCCCAGCTTGTCTTTATCATGGAAGCATTTTGTTTCTCCATTAATTTTGAAAGATAGTTTTTCTTTTTCTAAAATTTTATTTAAAGAAAAAAAACTAAACAGTAAAAGAGTACAAGTAATACAACATTTCAAAAAAATAAATAGTAAGAAATCACTAGTTAATAGATTACATATTGTCATCTTAGATATAGTTGTTCAATTTACAAAATTGAAGCATACAAAGTGGACCTTCAAACAGTGAGACTGCAAACAGTTGTGTTCAATGATCCAACAAAAACTTAGTAATATGGTCATCTATCTTACACACCTAAACACACTTGCAGTTGTATTCTTTAGAGCACTTTCTTTTCCTCTCTTTTTTACAATAGCATTTACACATTTGGGTTTTTTTATTCCCACAGTTCTTATTACTTCTTTGAGAGATAGTTTTTCAGCATATATCAGTCTGGGTTGGAGGTTATTTTCTTTTATGACTTGGAATACTTCACTATATGCTCTTCTTGAGTTGATGGTTTGTGTCAAGAAGTCTGTTATGATTCTGATGGGTTTTCCTTCATAGGTGATCTGTTTCTTTGTTATGATGGCTTTCAAAATTCTGTTCTTGTGTTGAATTTCTGGTATCTTGATCATTATATGTCAGGGTATAGATCTATTTTGGTTATAGCTGGCTGGAGTTCTGTATGCCTTATTTATCTGAATATCATTTCCTTTTTCTATATTTGGGAAATTGTCTTTAATTATTTCTGTAAATAGCCTTTGTATTTCATTATTATTTACCCCTGCTTCTTCACTCACATTTTTTTATTCTTAAGCTAAAGAAACTTGTCATCTTCTAGCCTTTGTATTGTTACTTCCTGGTTCCTTGTTATTTGTAAGAGATATTTCCTTTTGTGATTACAAGTTACAAACCTATCTTTAAGGTTTGATAGTCTATCTTTAGTTTCTTTCAAGCAGATTCACCAGCTTTCAATGGAGTTTTTAATTTCCAGGTAATCTCTTTGAATCTGTTTCATGTATTCTAAATTTTTTATACTTTTCATTGAAGGTTTCCCTCCTTTTTCTATGCTCCTCTATTTCATCTGTGTCTTCTTTAAAAGTACTTTAAAGGTACTTTATTATTTTTCTTATATCTTCCTTTACTTGTAATAGTATTTCTGTTTTAAATTCTTTTATAGTTTCACAAAGTTGTTTCTTTATGTCAGTTGCTGTTTCTTCAGAAACTGCAGGTGTACAACTCCCGATCTCTTCTGTGTTTACATCTCCTGGACCAGTACTGCTTAGGTTGGGTGCCAGAGACTTCCTTTTGCTTCTTCCTCTTGTCATGTTCCTGGCTTCTTCTAGACATGTGGTAGTGGGGTCCCTGGCAATTCCTGTATTGGTTATAATTATTCTAAATTGTGCTGGTTAGGGATTTCTGCTGTTTTCTGCTTTCCCTAATCTGCTGGTGACTACTGGAGTATAAGCAGGGGCAGGGCATCTTGGGCCCTCCCTTCTGAGCTGGTTAACCACAGGGCATCTTCACCACATTAGTGTGTGCTGCATGGGCAGGGTTGGATAGGGATAGCTTTAGGGAAACCTCAACCTATTGGACCATGCACAGGAGCAGGATTCAGTCTAAGCAATTTTTACCAATCTGCTCTGTGCTAGGAGTGGCTGAATGAAGCCGGCTACTGTTCTGGTTTTGGGCTTATCCTGCCTGACTCCTACATGGTGCCTGGCCAATGGCTCACTCCCACAGGAGGACTGAGTCCCCCACACTCACCTCTCGCCAGTGCAGTTCTCAGGTCCACTGCTTTCCTTTGCTACAATGTCTCCCCATCGAGGCCTTTGTGCTTGCCAGACACCTGCTTCACTGTGACCATGCATCTCTGGATTTCAGTGGCACTTCTCACATAGTGGGACCAGCTCTGGTGAAACTGCATCTGGATACAGCCTTCTGTTTAAGTTTTTCTTTTCTTTTCTTTTTTTATCCTCTCTGTGGGCTTTGATTCTCACTTTACTAACTTCCTTTGTTGAGGGGACCCATTTCTTTCCTTCTGGTCTTCTCCAGAATGCTATATTCCAGTGAAAAGTATGTTATTGTGGATAATAGTAATGCTAAAAAATGCAGGTCAAGGTCTGCCTCTAGATTTTCATCACAAAGCTTTAATTGCCTAGCCCTACTTGTCCCTGAATATAGAACGTCCAGTTCTTGCTAGGTAGAATAGTATGGTTCTATCTGCCTTTTCCTTTTCCATTAGTTCAGCTACTTGCATACACTCACCCTGTTTGTGAATGGTCCCTTTGAATTCCCTCCTCCCATCCCCCAGCCTGTTTGCATCATCAGCTCACTGTCTGTGACTCTGGAGTTGTGTAGCAGTACCCATTTTCTGTCTGTTAGACCATTAGTAGAATATTATAGGAGACATGAATGAATGTACTCCTAACAGTAATCATACCTGTAATCTCAAAGAAGTAGCTCTGGAATGATATTCAATCTCCACCTTCAGTTTAATACATGGTCACATCTTTAAATATTAAATATATTAATGGACTTTCAGATTATCATATTCCAGAGGAAGAAATTTACCTAGAGTATAATTATTCTTTTGTTATTTAGCAGTAATGTGGTTGAAGAAAGGCAATCAGAAATTTTAAAAACAGTTACTGATAGATTGTCAAGACTTTCTCCTAAGGGTTTATTTTATCAGCAGTAAACATGCTGATTTGTAATACAAACCTCTTGCTTTAGAATACTGTACTCTATGAGAACAGAGTTCTAGGAAACAGTAGGATTTTGTTATATGTTTCCATTTTAAAGTGGGTTAAATTCTCTATTAAAAATACTTTTGAGTCTTTAAACATCAGATGTGAAAAAAACAGTAAAATAAAAACTCCAGATTCATTGTGCCTTTGATATTCACACAGATCTTCTGGAAGCCTCAATCTACATATGTACCAATTCTACACTGATCCCTAATCACCTAAACTTACCAGAATGTTAGAATGATTTCATTATTGAAAATTCCCTGAATCTTTGTTGGGAGCCGCGGCCCAGCCCGGTCGTTTTACTTGGCGGACGTTAGGCCTGTAGGAAAGAGCAAAGCCTGAGCTAGATTACCCCTCCCATCGAGTGAGCCAAAATGGCGCCTGCTTCCTGCCCCCTGATTGCCCTGGCAACGTAAACAACCCGCTCTGTAAGATAGTCTGCCTAGCAACAACTGATGTTAGCCAATCAGCCCGCATCGGGCGCTTTGAACTGATTGGCCACTGTTACCCTATAAAAGTAAATGCCTCTCCCGCCACGAGAGAGAAGCACAGAGGAAGCACAGAGAGAGATAGAGAAAGTCCACCGGCGAGAAAGGACTGGTGGCAGAGAGGAGGCCTCGCGGGGCCCACGCGGAGACAAATAAAGGCAAGGTTGCACACCGCCAGACTTTGTCGTGTGTCTTTCCTGCCGGCCGGGAGCGACCCCGACAAATCTTCACACAAAATTGTTGAGATTTTCTCTTTCTTTTCTAGGGAAGTTCTGTGTTAATACATCTATGCTACGGTCTTAACATTTAGTCATCATTAGATATTACTTTCAGTTTGAAAGCCCTTTTGATAATATTTAGTGTTTTGTTTTCAGCATGGAAATCTGAAGTTTGTGCCTTGTTTGTTTTTCCATGACATACCCATTTTGAATTTTTCAAAGCAAATTGTCAAAACTTGAGGTAAAATTTTCCTACTTTTAGATTTTTACATCTAGAAATTTACAAAGATAGGAACTATTATTATAATGATAGAGGAATTAGTGACACCAGAAAATCAGGACTAAAATTTAATAAGTAAGCATTTTGTCATAGAAGCAGTAGACTAAGTGATCAGAGTTGGGAGACAGTTCACAGCAAATTTTTGCTTCACGGTATAATTGAAAGGTTGATGTTTGGAAAGGATTGTCAGTACACTTGTGACAACATGGTTTTTGTGGGAAACATTGTAAGGTGCATGATGAGAAAGAACAGCCCTGAAGTCCATACTTGATCTACCTTGGTTGGGGCATCATTTAAAAGTCCTGAACTCCTAGAAAGGCTTGGCTTTTGCAGTGTGTATGCCTGGAGTGCTGCGAGTTAACAAGACTTTCTGTGACTGTCCTACTGTAAAAATCTTAAGTATCCTACCTAAAGTAAACCGTGTTCTTATTTCTAAAGTGAACATAAAGTAAACTTGGATCATGGAAGTCAAGTAAAAATGCTTCTCACTTAAAAAAAAATCCAGGCATTCTGTGAGATTTGATGCAATAACTATAGTGGTTGATTGTGTCAACTTGAGACATTAGAAGCCTCACTAAATGGGTTTAGCCACTTTATACCCAAGAGTGTAGAAGACCCACCCTAGGGTACCTCATCACCTGGAGGTATAAAAGGGAAGGAGAAAGGACAAATGCGTTCCATTCTTTGGAGAAGCTCCAGTCTTTGCCTTTGGTTTGGATGTTCCAGTGTGGACTCTTCAGCCTTCCATAGTAGAGCCTTCAGCCTTCTGTTGCAGACCCATCAGACTGCTTGCACGAGACACCAGGGTAAACTGCAGACGCTGGATTGATTGGATCCTTTAGCCTCTGCTGTGTAGACACCCTGTGCACACTTCCCCATCCAACTCTGTGGCAGACCACCATAAGCCAGTCTTGTCATTTCTTATACATTTGTATATCTCATGTTATATGTTTTCTCTAGTACGCCCCTGACTAATACAATAACTTAGTGTTTTCATTTCAGAGAAGACCCTTATACAACAAAATCTGTTGGAAGATTAGTAAGCAACTAGTATTCAGATGGCCAAAACTAAATGATCAACTAAATGATCAACCTATAAACAAATACTAATAGTAAATTCTAAAATATTTTGAAATGGAAGTATCAATAAAACTCAGAAGCCACAATTAAATTTACACAGCACCAAATTCATGCAGCAAAGAACAAGAAAACAATTCCATACAAATAGTAGCATCACAAGATCTCAGAAAATTAAACATTGCTTGTGCTGCTCATAGGTGGTAATGAATTTTAGTTCATGGTACAGTGATCCAAACTGACATAAGTATGAGTCCCATTATCACAAGCAAGCAAATGGTTTCGGAGATAATACGATAAAATCTCTTGCTAGTTATGTATCTTCTCTAAGAGTGATATACTCTATAGGTTCAAAATAATAGAATAAGTAATTTTGACTTGATTAAGTCTAACAACTCTGATTAGATGAAAAACAAGCACATAACAGAGTATAGCTAATCAACCAACCTTCAGGGTAGATGCTGCTGAAGGCTGGAGGGAGACTCAAAGATTTAGACTGAAGAAATGATTTACAGTCCAGATGATAACCTTCTCCTTTTTTAAGCAAAGGAGTCTAGAAATATGCTAATTTTACATGATGTGAATGAAAAAAATAGCAGAATTTACATTGCAGCTGTTTGAACAATGCTTGATTGAAAGACAGTACAATAAACATGGTACTCTCCTCCCTACAATGGCCATCATGGTCTTCCTCGTGCTGTCTCCTCTTTCACTACTACCCTACATTCTTTTGTCTGCCTGAAAACTGACATGCTATTTTTTTTTGCCTGTAGATATATGTTTTATACTCTATTGTTGCTGAGACATACTTACAATTTATCACTATAAATTATGTTTAATAAGAATTAATAAAATGAATCTTCATTTTAGCAAGATCTAAGATTTATAAGATGAATCTTAATGTCTCAAGGTACACAGTAGCCTTTATTCTGATTTAAATTTAGGTTTATTCCAAATTTATTTCATTGTTCTTTTTTATTAAAGTCTAAATATTTTCAGACTACACTTGTAACTTATCAATTATATATTTCCATTTATTAGTTATAAATTTATAGGTTCTCTTCTAGCCAACAAATATATTTATCTCTTATTTTAAAGCCAAACTGTATGTACATTGGTGGTCCTGTGAGCGATATAGCTGCATGGAATCCATCCTCTAAATGGTCATGGGTAACTTGAACTCCAACATTTTGAAGTCGCGTGGCATAAATTAGGCCATCATCTCTTACTAAATCATGTTCACAAGTGAGGATGTAAGTTAATGGTAATGTCTGTAACTGGGAATCATTTAACACCAAAGGTGATAGTCTACTATCAACGAGAAGTGGATGCAAACTTTTAAGATTTCCAAGAGTTGGTTCAGTATAAACATGGTACTTTTTATACTTCTCAGGAAGGTAGACACTCCAGTTAACATACTTGAACAGATGTCTTGATTCTTCAGGCATATGCTGATTTCTTAACATTGCCTGGGGTAGCGCTTCATCCATAGTCAAAGATAGGCAGAAGAGTTTTATAGCCATTTCTCTTGTCAAAAATGGACCATTTGCATATTCTTGATGTGAGGGCACCAAAGTATCAAACACCTGTAATACAGGATAAATTAAGGCTTGTGCCTTAATTTTATCTTTGAATTCTGGATCATTCTGTAGCTGAAAAAATATAATAAAACATTACTGAGTCAAAAATTTTCAAAAAGGAATAGAATGTTTTAGTTCAATCATTTGAGGTAAACACATTTATAAAACTGACTCAAAATATACTGACCACTTTCACAATATTGATGCATTATTTTTAAGATCTAAAAAGATATATTTTCACTTTCATCAATAAAGAAATCATGCCAATACATATATATGAATGTAAGCACATATGCATATGTGTCACACACATTTATTTACAACTCAACACCAAACAGAAATATAATTATGAGATTCCTAGGGCATATAACAAGACATCTAAGTTTAAAGAATTTTGAACTAAAGTAATCAAAGTGAGAAGAAAGAATAAATATAATAATAAAATATTTATGCCAAAATTCACATATTAAACAAATTTGTAATAGAAATATACCACCTTAAAGAAAATATTCCCAATTTAAAATTCACTTTTTGGGCAAATTATTGTAGTATGATGGAAAGCAAATAGAATAATTTATGAAAATTGAAAACCAAGAACCAGAAAAGATGCTCTCATATACTTTATTTGCACCCTCTCTTACATAAGTATACTGAGCTCTTGATTATGAGGTTCTTTCTTTTATTTTTTTCTTTCTGCACACTACAGGAGAGAACCATAAATTTGCCTCCCAGGCACAGTTATCTAAGCTACAAATGAGCTTCTACAATAATGCTATTTAAGCAAATAGGATTGTAGGGTATATCCAAGGTTAAAACTCAGTGAGTAGCTACTGATACTAAATGACAAAATTAATTAAAATATCAATAGCTCGTCCCAAGGGAAACTATCAGCAACTCCAAAATGCACGCTCAACATACACTAGGACTTAAGTCAAAAAACAGAATGAAGAAAGACAACATTTCCCGGGGTCTTTTTCCCAGCTTCATGATTCCTCCCTAGTACCCTGAAACTAATACTGTATTTTAAAAATGAATTATCTCAGAATCTGAGAGCAAAAAACAATAGGGATCTCAGAAAGGACATTAGTTATTCAACTGATAGTTTCTCAGGCGAGTAGAAATAACTCTCCAAGATGATTTAGCAGATTCTACTGGTTTCTGTGGCATTCGAGGATCATAAAATTTTTCCTTTCCAAATTGTATTGAAATACAAAAGAACTTAGAAAATAAATGAAAACATTAGAAGTTTTGGAAAATAAGCAAGAACAATGGCTTTTTTGGAGGGAACTTAATGCAGGAAGAACTCCAAGGAAGAGAATGTCACGAATGTCACTACAGCTGTGCTGTCTAGAACCCACTATGCCAAAGTTACTATACTGAGGTGATGAGAATGTCTGTCCTTATCTACAAATACTCAGTAAATTGCTCCCTTTGCTGCAAAGCCCAAAACAGTGCTCTTAGGACACTAAAAGGCCACTTGATTATTGACTGTCAAGTCCCTGAGTTTCTCTGATGAGCAACACCTCCTAATAGGGCTTTTTTACAGCTTAAGACAACACTTACAGGAGGTTTCACATTGCTTATGTTGACCTAGCACAGAAGCAACATGAGGAGCAGCAGGAGAAGCCCATTCTTTGTAATTCAAAGAGATGACAATACCTTAACCTAAGAGAAGCATATGTTAATCCCCAGGATTTTAGAAGGGGAGATTCATCAGCAGAACATTTGCTAGTTCACAAATGTTTTATATCTAACATTTCACTGATGATAGCATATCTTTGTGGGAAGGCTGCCTTTCCAATTTGTGAACGTAAAAATCTTGTTCAGACACATAAACTTATTTATCTAAAACCAGACCTGCTTACAGAACCATGGAACAGAAGGGTTTCTGTAGCCAATGAATAGGTAAACCCGATCTTTTCAATTAGAATATTACATGAAATCGCAAAGTGGAAAATAATAAAAATGCAATCTGCAATGATTTAAATTATTTCTAGATTTTTAAATACATATCTCCTGTACAGTAATGTTCTCCTCAGAGAAGTGGAACATCAAGGCAGCAACAATCAATCTGGGCATAGCTGTCACCTTAGGGTGATTAGCAAAGCAAGATGTAAGTCGTAGTAGCAAGCAAGGAGTGGGCCTGCTGCGTGGCATGAACAGGGCTGACAGAGCAACCCAAGAACTGCAGAAGGCGCTGAGTTTCAATCTATGTAGCACTTTTTTCCTCACCCTTCCAAATGTGTCCCTAATCTTCTGTCACAGTTCAATGGTAATATCCCTGTGAACTCCTTATGCTGTCTGCCGACAATTTTCAGTGTTCTCCCTCCTACTTTTTCAAGACTTACATAAACTAAAAACTATTTCAATAAACTGGTGAATTATTGGGAATCTTTGGCATTTCTTGGCTTTTTCATTACTTTAGCTTATGAGTATATGTATATGGAGCATAATGTTTATATTTCTTAGAGGAGTTGATACAATGAAGCATCATTTAAAATCCTCCCCACAACTTGAGTTTGGCTTCCAAATTTATGAGAAAATAAATGTCCTAAGTGGATAAACTGGTAGATGATATTATCCAAAATCGGTAATTTTGTTCCACCACAACCCCTCTTTATCACTTTGGCATGAATCTTTTTATGTATTTTAGTAGACATTCAAATTATTCATGAATATGTGTATATTATGATTGAACACAGGAATACGAGGTCAAAACAATCACTTCTTTTCCTAAAATGAGAGCAATTAGATTTAATTCTAATCATACCAATTCCCATTTCTGTCAGATCATCTCATCTTTCCTTTTGTGCCACAAGTCTCTTGATAGTGTCTGTTTACTTTAACTGTCTTTTTGAGCAGTAGTTTCCAGGGATGGACACCACACTTTGCAGCCTACTCTAGAAAACCCAAAGGTGTATTGAGTAGGATACCATATCCCCAGTGACTCCGAGATTATTCTTGAGGACAAAGCCCTTACCCTGGCTAGATATTCTCTCAAGACCCAGATCTGACCCCCTAAATCTCATATCACGCCACACTGGAGCCTTGAATACAAAATCTTTGAATTTTGTCACTGAATCATATGTTCTTTTCTCATTTATCCAGCAGTTTAGGTATATAATAAAGTCCTTCAAGTTTTACCTTCCTGAGTATAGGCACAGAAAAAATTAATATGCACAAAATATCCATTGTGTATTTGATCCAGTGAGAAGTCCTAATTTACTTCATTCAGTTTACCAATTCTTCATTTTTCATCTAAAATATCCAATTTAGTTAACACTTGCTCTAGTTTTCCTTGAAAAAACCTCCTTGTTCAGAAAAGTACAAGGATGGTTGAATAGGGGTTACATAAAACAACTTGAGTGATAGAAGTAATTTTTCTCTGTCCGAGACACGTACCCAATCCATGCCGGTGCTAGAAAACTTATGCATGGGGAGTCCAGGATGCAGGATATTATCAAACTACTGCTCTGACTCCATCTCCCCTATCTTGTGAATTGTGCCTCCCTGCCTCTTGTGACTATTTCTCCCAAATGATCTTATAACCCATTAGAAGTCCCTGAAATAGGACACTAAAGCTACCTTACATTTAAAAATGAAGCCCTGATGATATGATATCCATGTTCAACATCCCACATACAAGAAAGAGGAAGAGACTGAAACACAGTATCACCCCACGTGGGAAGGTCTGGTTTTGTACACCTGGATATGGTAGTTTGAATTCCGGCTTTATAAGATAAATTTTATGGTTGTAGGCTAATTAGCTAATTACTCTTTAAAGGCTCAGGTTTTTGAACTCTAAAGAATAAAATAATATAAAATAAAATGACACAATGTTAGCTAATATATACAACTTTAATATGATGAAAATGAGATTAAACTAAACAACAGTTCCAGGAGTGTAGTGACTGCTCTATAAATATTAATTTTGTCCAGTATTATTGTTGGGACTAATAAAAAAATTATCTACCCTAAATCATTTATGACTTAACAGGCAAACAATTAACCCAGCTCAAATTTTTTCATATCATGGAGAGTCTGATGAGATTTGGTAAGTGAAAAGATAAAATAAATGTCAAAATAAGAATAGTAATTAGTTTGTAATCTATTACAGCACAGCAAAAGCTATAATATACACATATTTTAATTGATTAATAATTTCAGAATTATGATAGATCATATATGGACATAAATATGAAATAACTACTGAATGTGAAATATTAATTTCTACAAATTTTTGAAGCAGAAATTCTCTCTAAACTTAATGGTGATGAAAACAATAATAAATTAAAATATAATCAAATTTTTACAAGTTTAACATGTTCTAGAGGAAAAATTTCAAAAGCAAAAACTTCTTGTGTACACTCCTTTAATCTTGTGTACACTCCCTTAATCCCAGCATTTGGGAGGCTGAAGCAGAAGATTGTTGAGTTCTAGACCAGACTGGGCTGCAAACTGAGCCCAAGGCCAGTCTGAACTACATGGCAAGACCCTTTCTCAGCAAGATAAAAATAAATAAATAAAATAAAAAATAAGAAAAAGAAACCCAGAATCCCATAAAGAATGCAAGGGCATTCATAAAAAATACATTACAGACAAAAGTAAAAGTTATCATATTTAGTAACATATAATGATTTTGAGTTTTCAGTAAGAATATTCTGGAAAATAAATTTATCAAAAACCATAATTAGAAAGTTTATAGAAGGAGACATAATATCTTTTAGACTTTTTATGTTCTCAGTAAAATATCTTATTTTACTGTTAATGAAAGGCATCTACAGATTACAGCAGGGAAAAATGTAACTTTATGTAAAAAATAAGTTCATTAGAAATATGATAATATACTACCAGTGAGAATGAAATGGAACAGACACTTACTCACATTTCTAATTTCTAAGTGAACTGGTAAAATGCTTTTGACTATATCTTCCCATGTTAAATGCTAAGTTGTTCTACTTATAAATATCTATCTCAAAGCAGTCAGAATAAATATTAAGGAAGTGGCATATCTAAATTTATCTGTATTGATTCATAATAGAATTTGTTAATAAGTATTATGCTCATGTGAAAGTAGAGATTATACCTCATTTGAACTCATGTCATCTTTTTAAAAAGATTGCATGTATTGCAATTTTGCTGTTAGAAATTTCTCAACCTAATAACACAGCCTCTATTTAGACCACCAGGATATTTTCAGAAAAGATTTTGAGCATTTTATATTATTAATTTTGTTAGAATTTTATAATGGTTTTACAGTGGGAGGAATCTGAGCTAGCTATTCTCCTGATAGGTATCTTTTTGAAAAAGTTAAAGATATTATATTACAATGATATACAATAAAGTTGGTAGTATAAAGAATTATATTACTGTTATAAAGAGGGAAGCATTTGAATTATTTAAATGGAAATGGATTCACTTTGAGACAATGTTAAGTGAAAATAAATTACACAAACAACCTTATCATATAGTTTCTTTTACATGAGAAACCCAAAGTCTAAGTAAATTAAAGAGAAAAATAAAAGACAGACAGTAGAAAACAGATAAAAAGCAAATTTGAAGATGGGAAGGGAATGAATAGATGGCAGGAGGGAAAGCGGACAAAAAAGAATTAAGATGTGTCAATTACATGTACCAACTCTCCACAATGTATGTATCCATTATATACTAAAAACATGTACTAACAAAAATAAATTTTAAAAAAGTTTGAAGTGAGTAGGCTGGAGAAGGATATTGCACACTGTTGTTGCTATTCACACTTTCTTCAAAAATCTAAAATCACTAAAAATATTCTTTGGAGATCACCTGCATAGAGACACATAAATCTATGAATCCAACCTCTCACTTAACCACTCACACTGCTCCACTAACTGTGATGATCTTCTAGGAATCATCTGCCTCTCTCCTGTGGGCAAAGCTTCCCCCCTGGACTTCCTCCCTGCTTCTAAATTTTTGTTACAGGTTTCCCCAGATGAAGACAAGGAAAGATTAAACTCATGACCAAAACCTCATCCACCTCAAATGCGTAAAGACATACGAGTCTTCAGAGCTAAGGACCAAGAAGGATTCTGACATAGTAAACCCTAGTAAGAGAGTTTAGACTCACTGGCTTCCTTGTGACTGAAAAGTGTTATGTGTAAAGGTCACCTCGTGCAAGGAGGATTTATTTCATTTTATTTTTATTGTTAGATTTATTTTATATGCTTATATTTATTTTATTGCATTAAAATAATTTGGTAGAAAAATTATTTGACTGTGTAATTTTCCAAATATATTATTCAGTGATACACAGCAAGGCATGTTAAAAACGTGAGGCAGGCTTCCTCTTTAGGCACAGTAATCACTCTTCTATACAAGCATGACCCACAGCCCAAGAGTTATTTGTGACTCTCTGTAGGGTTTAGTGTATGAATATTATGAATTATAAATTTTTGCCAAAGTTTATGATTCATATGTGGAGAATCAGTACCCCTTATGACATTAAGTGGTGGTTCCACAAATCCTTGTATATTTTTAAGTTTTTCAGAGAAAAATGTAAAATCTCTCCACAACAGAGAAAACAAGCAACAGCAAATTTGCATTACCGAATAGGAAAAATTTTGCCAGCTCCACGTTAAACAGAGAATTAATATCTCAAATATGCAAAGAACTCAAAAAATTAAACCCCTCAAAATAAAAGTTCCAATCAAAAATGGACAAATAAAGTGAATAGTCATTTTTAAAAGTACAATTTGCTAACGAATACATGAAAAAAAATGTTCAAAATCATTGGCCAGTAGAGAAATCCAAATTAAAACAACACTGAGTCTCTATCTGACTCTAGAAAAAATAGTAATCATCATAAATCAAATAATAACAAATGTTGGCAAGACTGTAGCTGAGAATCTAACTAGTACAGCTAATTTGGAAGTCAGTATGGAGACAAAATTGAAAATAGAAATTCCATTCTCCCAGCTATTCTTCTAGATATATTTACAAAAGGGACATTGATACTACAGATACCTACACTGCTACTACTGATACTACACTGATAGCCTTATTTATATCAGCACAACATTTAAATCTTATAAGGTAGGCTGTATGTCAGTCAATTGATGGAAGGTTAAATAAACTGTTGTATTTATATACAAAGAAGTATGACATTTTAAAGAAGAATAAATTTGAATCATTTGTAGGAAAATAGTTCACCTTGTGACCATGATGTTAGTGAAATAAGACACTCAAGCTTAAATATCACCTGGTTTCTCTCCTATGAGATATATAAAGCATGGTTGAACATGGTAGTACCTAGCTATAACCTCAGTACTTGGGAGGTTGAGGCAAGAATATTGCTGTGAGTTTGAGGCCAATCTGGGCCACATAGTGAATTCAAAGCCAGCATGAACTAAATAGTGAGATCTTGTCTCAAAAACCAAAACAAAACCCAAAGTATAAGCAAGTCAAAAGCAAAATAAATGATAATCAATAGGGAACAGAGATACAGTTCTTTGGCAAATGGGGAAGAAAGCAAGAGATGAAACAAGGAAAAAGAGATTATATTTAGTATTTTCTGAATGCCTGTTGGATACATATATCTAAATGTAATATTATACAAAAAGTATGTAAAATTATGGAAAAGAAAGTATTTTGGTGCTTTTTAATACTTTGCAGTTTAAAGTATAAGATTAAGAATTGCTACAACTAAAACAATCATTCATTAGTGTTAGCATCATAGTTTAATAAATGTACATACACATAACATACCAGATAAACCACACTTGTGGCCAACAAGCCCCCAGAACTGTCGCCTGTAATGCATATTCTGGTGGGATCCACTCCATATTTCATAAGAATTTTATCCTGTAAAAAGAACTTAACCGCAAAAACACAGTCTTCAAGAGGAACTGGAAACAGATACTGAGGAGCTTGTCTAAAACTTAAGAAAGAAAAAAGAAACAACAAAATATTTATGATTAAAATTAGGTTGTATATCTTTTCATTTAACCAACTGAATTATTAAGCAAAGTAAGTCCTACATTGAATCTTCATTTAATCAGTCAAGCATGAACTTATTTTTAACTTCTATTTAAAAATGAGATACATTTTCATATAAAAGTTTTTTAAAATTTCCTTCTACCAAGATCTGTGAGAAAAGGATATAGCTTCATCTTCCTACAACTGTCTGTGAAGTTGACAAAACAATTAGTCATGATGATGCTATATTCACCAGGTTGTCAATGTAGTTGGTAACTCAAAAATGTTCAGAACCACTGTTGGGAACACAGATGAGAGTTCAAAAGCATAAAATTTGATAGCCTGGGATTTGTCATTTTAGATAGTAGATAATTATTTTAAACTGAAATTGGGTGACTTAGTATGTGTGATTCATCATAATGCTGGTTGAAAATAATTCAAAATTAAATATTAATAATGCTTAGATACATCTAGGGATCTTGCTTAGTCGTTGTAAGTTCATTTGTAAGATCAGTGACAATAGCATCCTTTAATGCAGATATATACATACATTGTACATATGTATTTGTGAGTTTGTGTATGTGTGTCACACACCACTATCACACAATAACACCACTATTGGATAATCATATTATTTCTATCTATAGCAGTTTTTACAAATATTTGTAAGAATTACTGAATTATTTACAAACAAATACAAAGCATTTAAAATTAGACAGATGGCTCTTGCAATTTTGTCATTATAATTTGTGTATAAAATATGTGCAATGTGCAGTAATCTAATTAGGGTAAGATACAAAAGGTAGAACTGCTACTTTAAATTTCTTTCAGTGTAAAGGACACAAATAGATTTAATTAATACATTTCTTAAAATAGGCAAAACATACAACACCAAGTAACCAGTGGGTTTAAAATGACAAAATAGTATATTACATTAAAATTATGGTGTATCAAGTAGCTGATACATTATACCAAAACATTCCTAAATACTTAAAGGATTTGTTGGCTGCTATAAAGAAGTAATTATGAATGAAGCAGCACTGATTCCAATAGTATTCTTTGTTTGACTCCACTACACAGCCACAGAGCCCTCCCCGAAAATCACAATACATTTTCATTCGGCATCAGTCCACATATACTTCTCTACACTGCAGAATCACCATGAAAGATTTGAAAACTTCTTCATTATGGAGAAGGCAGTTTATAAAGTACAGAGTACACCTTTACTCATGCTCCTGGTATAATGTTGGAAATTTTGGCAAAACTCACTAAGAACTCCCATTTTGAGAACAATTTGAAATGCTCACATGAGCCCAACGTTTTTTACCTAATGTTACTCCACCAGAATCTCTCCCAAATTTGTCTTTGTACTACCAGCTTAAACAAAATCCAACATCCCTATCTGAAATAAGTAACTAAGCTACCCTTTGTCCAAAACCGGTACTTGGGGTTCCTCTATAACCTGAGCTCTATATTCCTAGAAGTCATCAGAGCTATAATGGCAAAGAGGCAACCATAGCATCAGCCCAGCCTCCTCAGAAGTCTATGCAAGGACAAAGATTACAGTGAAACTGGGCTCCTTTGAGAAGGCATGGATATTATTTTGTCAATAAAAAAATTAATGTAAACCCAAAATCCCTAGTATTCAATAATTTTTGAGGCCCGGCTGACTTGCATAGAAATCACACACAACAAATGAGGGCAACATTCATATTACAAACAATTATTCTCTTACTCCACTCCCAGAACAACAGCATCAAGTTTCTTCGCAGTCCATCGACTCAGGGAGTCATAAGAAGATAGTTCTGAAACAAAAGAAATAAATATAAGGAGAGTTCCTATAAACAAACAGCCATGGAGAAATCCCCTAAGTTCAGGAAATGTGATAGAAGCATGGATTGTGATTAACTGATTGTGAGAAACACTATAATCACTACTTTCACTGCTAAGTAAAGGGACACTCTGTCAGAGGAAGAACACTCTCCCAATCCAACACCTACCGCATCGCTCATGAGGAAAAGTCAAGCTAGGTCATCTGGTTGGATTCTATGACTGAAGAATTTCAGCATGCTTGGTTTGTCCCATTGTTTTCTTAGGAATGCTTCTTCCAGGTTCACCATGATATGCACTTCAAATGAACACCATTCATCAAAAAATGGTGACTATATATTATGTTCTGCACCTTTTCTGGTACATTTCATAATGAAGAGGCTCTAAGTCATACTGTATTACTAGATAGTATCTTTGATAGCCTGGCATGGTATCACAAGCCTGTAATCCCAGCACTTGGAACTCAGGCAGGAGCACTGCCCTAGGTTTGAAACCAGCCCGAGCTATAAAGTGTGTTAAGGCCAACCTGTACTACATAGCAAGACCACATCCTAAGAAAAAAAACAAATAAACAAACAAAAAGAACAGTGAAACTGTGTCTGGTAATTATCTGACTCATGGGTGATGAGTCACCCAATAAAGTCACCCATTAAAGAAGTGAAGACATGTTCTACAGCAGTTATCAAGAGTAGACACATTATTTGACTATCCCTTGATTGAACACTATTTTTTTACATATTTTTTGAACAGCAGGAAAAAAGTATATTTATTGACCCTGTAACTGAAACACACTTTACTATGATATCCAGTGAAATTTCATCTGACTAGAATAAACCACTCAAGGCTCAAGATGAAGATAATCTTATATCCACATTATCATTTTTTATATTTTTAAAAGTTCAACATTTTCCATTTTTGCAGAAAATACTAGTTAGCATTATTGTCCTTTTAATAAAATATGTTAGTGTATTTAATGTTAGGTATACTTTTTATTGTAAAAAAAAAAAGGCATTTAGGTGTGACAGTGCATGTATGTGATCCTGACACTCTGGGAGACAGAGATGCAGGAGGATCACAAGTTCTAGCCCAGCTTGGAAAATTTAGTGACTTAGGAAGACCTTGTGTCAAAATAAAATTTTTATAAAAATTTTGTGGATAATGCTCAGTTACAAAGGCCCTGGCTTCAATGTCCAATACCACCAAAACAAAAAAATATGGGTAAAAGTTTGCAAAACAAAAATTCCTATTAGAAAGGAATGTCAAAATTCTGTTTAGTTATTTAATATACATTAATTCTAAAGATACTAACTAGGCTTTTATTATATGAAAGATATAATGACTGCTATCAAATAAGGAAGGGAAAGGGTGTTCCTTTTTAGAAAAAAATGTGTTCAAAGACAAGGACTTACAAGAATGCATGGACAGCTGAGGAAAATAAGTTTGGTTAAATATAACTGAAATAAAAATTTAGAGAGTACAAGGAAAGAAAGCTAGACTGTATAGGAAAATAAAAATATAAATATCTGCACTTGAATGTTATACTTGAGATTTCATTGCCAAAAGGTGGCAGATATTAATGAAAAATTAGCAATGATCCATATCATCAGATTTGCCTATTATAAAGACTTGATTTAAACAGAAGTGATGTAAATACAGAAGTGATGGCAAACTAACAGATATGAAACAATAGAAAGCTACCTATGTGATAAATGATTTTCTTTAGGTTACAGAAACAAGAAGATATTTAGAAAGTAGGATGGATAGAATTGGTTATTAAGTTTGGAATCAACAATCAATGATAAAATTGATCATTGTGGTGACATACTGACTGACAGAACATAAACTGAGAAACTGAGGAACATTGTTTTTTGTTTGTTTGTTTGTTTGAAACTACTACAAGGTAAAGATGTTGATTTCTCCTAAGTAACTAAGACAAATGGCAACTACTTATAAGAAGTACTTATGACCCATAAATATGTAAGAAAATGTTCACCATCACAGGCCATTACAGAAATGCAAATTAAAATAATATTGAGATTCTGTCTTATTCCAGTAAGATTCAACTTACTCTTGGCTATCATCAAGAAATCAAATAATAACACATGCCTGTGAGGTCGTTGGTAGGAATGCAAACTCATTAAAGCCCTATGGAAATGAGTATGGTTATTCCTCAAAAATCTAGTTCTTTTCCTTATAGATGGTCTCCCTAACGAGTTAAAGGTATCATATTACACTTATATATGCATACCATGTTTATAGCAGCATAATTCATAATAGCTGCATCTTGGAAGCAAGCCTATATGTCCATCAACAGACCAAATATTAAAGAAACTATTGTATTTATACACAATACAGTACTACTCTGTCTTATAACAAAGAATAAATTAGAGTTATTTTTTAAGAAAATAGGTTCATTTAAACATGAGTTTGAATATCATAAGATTTATCTTATATAAGAAACCCAAAAATATAAAGTTCAAAATAAAAGATAGATTAAGGAATACAAAGATATAAATCTTTTGCCAATTGGAATATAACCAAGAGATGGGAAGAATGGGGAAGGGCACTTAGGAATATTTAAGATGTGTCATGCACATGCATTAACTCCCTATGATGAATGTAATCTTAATGTACTACATACATGTGACAATAAAAATTAAAAATAAACTGTATAGAGAAAAATAATCCTACATCAACAAATGTTCTATCAATTTTTATATAGTAATGTTAGTGTTAAATTTAATATTAATATATGGATATATAAAGTGTAACATAATAATAAATATATAATAAATTAATAAATGAAATGCACTTACTGCAACTTCCCTGGGTCATAGCCCCACCATGAATAAAAATTATAGCTGGTCTTCGTCTTTCTGACTTCCTGGTAGGCAAGTATAACCGTACTGGAATGTCACTGAAGTCTGTGTCAATCACTGTAAGGTTTTCATCTGAAATTGGTTTTGTAAGGTCCATTGCCAATATTATTCTAAATAACTGTCCATATCTCATAATACCTACATTTTCAAGTAATACATTCTATCAAAACAAAGAAATTTAAAGTATTATTAATTTTTTTATTTTAATAACATCAAATATATATAAAAATGCAATAAAAAGTAAATAATGTGATATCACTATAGAGAATATTGCACATCCTAACACATGTATGATATGGTGATTTTAGGGTAATCTCATTTATAGAGTTTTCAAATAACAGCAGTCTCGTCAAAAGACATTTTTAGTGTTATTTTTATTTTTATGTTGCTATAGTTCCTTAAAGTTTTATCTGAAAAGCTATTTGGTCAATCATAGATTTTATATCATCTTTGTATGCCTATTCTCAATATTTTTATATTATTTTATAAGTGGTTCAATTTATAATTATAAAAATCATTTTGCTCCATTATTAATATTCTAGATACTAATCAACTACTTTTCAGCTACAAGTGGGCTTTCTTTCTTAATAGCATCTGAGGAGAAAAAGTCTCTTTTAGGCATATCCCATACTGTTTCTTGGAAAAACTAGGACATTCACAACCATGTCTCTGAAATGTACATTTTGCATATTCAAAACATTTACCAATTCCAAGCCACACTGTAAGCATTCCAAAACTAGACTACCTGAGCAAGTGTTATTTGAAAGAGCAGCAGGAACCAAACTCACCAGAGTTAGTATCTGTAGAAGCTAAATATACTAAGTCAGTTGGTTTTGGGAATGCAGATCAAACAATGGCAGAAACCAATCAAAAGATTTCATTGCTTATGTATTCTAACCAATAAAACACATGTTCTTCCAGGAAGCAGGAGCAGAATAGAACATCAAGGAGGCTACAGTTCAGGCATCCAACATTAGACATTATGAGTACCATTTGGTGCTTTCCTCCCAGTGTTCTGCCATCAGACCTGACAGTTTCCTGCCCAGTTAGCTCCATGCAATCAGACCTTGCAGGTGAATTTCAGTCCAATTTGGTGACATTGGACTCCTGTCTTTCCTTTTAATAAGTCCCATATAACACTATTCTTTCATGGTAATTCCTGCTATATGATTATGTCTTGCACATAATCTCTGAGGATTTTTTTTACTGTTCTAGCACCTACTTCAATGCTCCAGCGCATCTGGGCTGTGGACTCAACAGTCAGGAAATGGAAAGTAATATGTAAGTGTATTTTTGTAATATATTCCATAACAGCTAAATTCAGGTTTTAAAAAATGGGAGAAAAGAGAGATTACTAACTTCTAGAAGAATTCAAAAATATTCAATAATAGTAAATGGTAGGCTCTCAATTTTTAACAATGACATTTGACTCAGGAGTAATATATGAAAAATAATGTGTTCTATTGATGTGGTATAGTCTCAATACTGTCATTTTCTACATTATCACTGTCATTTTTTTAAACCATTAAACTTTTAATTTAAGACACACATACATATCTACATAGAAGTATACACACATATACCTTAAACATACATTCCAGGAATTTGCAAAGCAGACAACCAAATACAATTCTTAAGATATGTTTGGGGCTTGGGAACGAGATAACTCTAAGAGATAATACAAAATTATATGGAAGACATTGCTTGTCTATGCAAGCTACATATACATAAATATCTCTTTAATTGGCAACAGTGTCCTACTTCATTTTAAAGAACTACCCCTTCCCCATTAGTTGAAGTCATCAATGAGCTCACTGATCAAGAGTTAATACATAATCCCAAGGTAAGGTTAGCTACTGTTCTTGGAAATTGGATTTTGAAATTTAAGCCAAAAAACAAAAAGAAAGTATCATCATAAGTACATCCTGCAGTATCAAGTTAGTTATTATTGTTTATGCTTATATTACTTATATTATGCTTATATTATTGTTTATGCTTATATTATATTATCTTTTTTGAATATCTTTTACAAATATAAATGCAGAACAAATATATTTATGATCTTCAATGTTCTCTTATTAATTTTTTTTCAAATGATTAAAGAATATACTTATGATGAATATGTTTATTGATTGTCTATTTATAATTGATAATTAAAATTATAGGTTCTGGTGACTTTTGATAAAACTATTTCTCACATTGACTACATCTTCAAAAAGTCCTGCCCATAATAAAAAGAAACAAAACACTCTGAAAAGCCAAAATAAAAAAATGTACTGAGAAGGAAATTTAAAACTTAGCTAAAGATTAATAAGAGAGGGTGACTTTTGTTAGTTATCTTTCTTTGACCTGCCAGACTTTCCAAAACACATAAAGAAAGCATACAGTATTTTTAGCTTTCTTTTCTTTCATGGTTCTCAATAAAGATGAGGAACTGCTTGGCATCATAGATTACTAAAACTAAAAATATTCTTCTGGCCGTAAGCACTCATAGAAAAAGCATCTTAGAAGTCAGAAAGTGTGGGGCGAAATCCCAGAAAGAAAGAAAACTAGAAACAGTGCCCCTAAACACTATAAACGGAAAAGTATAAGTACCAGGTTCACATATAAACTGCACACAATGTCAAGCAAAATCAAAGAGACATGGCAAAGCTTTCGCATTTAAATGCAGTATAAAACCAGCAAACAAATCCTAGCCAGAGTTTGAGTGATGCTTGACTGGACAAACACAAATAGGATAGAAAAATATCAAAAACTGCACTGGCATAGGAATCTCATGGAAAAAAGGGCAGATCTTTCAGCCCTTTATTAACCTGATTAATTGCCATCCAAAACAAAATAGTGAGGGAAAAGGTTTTATTTTTCAGAGAAATGTAAAAGGGCCCATGGAAACATAACAAAAATAGGCAAAATACCAGGATGCAATCTCCATTTCTTGACACAAAAAGAAGAAACAAATCAGACCACTTCCTTAAAGAAAATACAACCACAAGATGCAAACTTTGACATGATCTCAAGTGAAATCAAAGCAAGTATTTTAAACATCCTTCATAATGATGAATTCTCTTGAAATCAATGAAGTAACAACTAAATAAAATAATATAAAGAAAAATTAATTTCTCTAAAGTTTAAAGTTCAGTGGATGAGCTCAATAGTAAAGCAAAGATGATTTAGGTATGTAGCCCAAAAATCTGCCATTTCTTCTGCTATCATGCAGCTACGTAGTCTCATGTACCTTGCTTATTCTCTCTCTAAATGTTTGTCTGTTGTTGTATTCTTAAACTTTCCCATTACCCATAAAACATTCTGATAGCAACATATTTGTAAAAAGGGCAAAGTATTTTCAGTGTGGTAGATTTAATGCAAATCTGGCGATTTCTCTCTCTCTCTCTCTGTCTCTCTCTCTCTCTCTGTCTCTCTCTCTCTCTCTCTGTCTCTCTCTCTCTCTCTCTCTCTCTCTCTCTCTCTCTCTCTCTCTTTTATACACACACACACAAATCTGAATTCAGTAATTTAGAACTGAAAATAGATAAAAGCACCAGAAAAATCTCAAAATATGTAAATATTGTCATATATTTCAGACAGGTTCAGGTATTATGGGTAATACCATTATTCTCTTATCTATTAAAAATGAATTTTCTGACAGTTCTACAGAGTTTGCAAGAGGTCACATGACATGAGACATCACAATGAATAAATTGCAAAAGTCCATAGGAAAATACAGCTACCTTCTACAAAGGAGCATATTAAAGAATATGGGCAAATTCCCCTATCTTGATTTTTTTCCTATTTTAAAATGGAACATTTTGTTTCAGTAAAAATATGTCTGTTCTGATAACTTGTAATGAATGAGGCTATCACCACTACCACCACCATCACTGTCATCGAGGTAATTTCTGACAAAGTTAATTTCTAATTCAGTTAGTATCAACAAATGCAACTCAAATAAGAAAAGCTCTCCATGATTTTTAGTAACTCAAATAATGGAAATAATATTGGAAACCAGAAAGTTTGAGAACTATTTAGAAGGACAATATTATGATTATTGTTATTATTATTACTTGGGTACCAGGAGTTGAACTCAGTACCTTGTGCCTGGCAGGCAGGTGCTGTGTCACTGAACTATAATCCTGACAAGGCAAAATTATTAAAACAATGCAACTCCTAAATATAAATAAAATATCAAAAACATAATTGATACATACAAGGAAGTTTTAAAAGAATATATGACACTAGGTTACCTCAAAAATGTCAAATGAATTCAAGCTATTAACCATTCCCTTCATTTTCTTTTTAAACAATATTTTTTATCACAATATGCAGTCATTATTTTTAGATATATATTCATAGTACATATTTTGAAATACACATTTTGGTTAATACTCCAAAATAAAAAAAGTTATAAAATACTAACTGAAAGAAAATTATAATTGTAACAACTCAAGCCAAAATTACCATCAATGAAGCAAATTTTGTTAAAATTGTTATGAGTCCTACTTTCCAGCGTTCTTCAATGTTCTCTGGTATGGGTAAATAAATATAATAAGCAAAGAAAATACAAAACAATGCAAAGCTCGGAATTTTCCACCCCATGATATTCCTTTGACAACTTAATGAATGGCGATGATTGAATGACACTCCATATATAAAGGACCAAATATGCTAAATAGTATTACAAAATTAGATAGCAGGATTTCTCAAGTGATATAATCGCTTTAGCAACACTGACAAGATTCTGTTCCAAGATTAACAGTGATTATAATAACTGTTTCAACAATTACTTTCTCTATGCAACATAAAGCATAATTTACCTCATCAATTATGCATTAATAACACTCAACTTAAAATCCTAGTCTTTAGCATTTTCTTCTTTTTTTCCCTGAACATCATTATCATTATCCTGAGAAGAGAAAAGGAGGAGCTGTGACATCAATTTTTCACTGGTTATTTCACAACAGTCATTAACAAGAGGACTAAAAAGAGCTTTGCTATATGGAGTCAATGTCTAAAATATAGCACAGATTATTAAGCAAATTTAAACTCATTGTGATTAGTTGAGCTTTAGAATAGAAAAGGAAATGTGTTTTTGTTCCAATTCCAGAATTATTTCATTTAGTCAAGAAATATTTGTGCATTTATGAGGCATTAAACTTGAAAATGTCTAAATCCATACATAGTAGCTATATAACCTTAGGAAAAGTATGTGTTCATTGAGCAAATACTTATTGCATCATTATGCATGAATTCACTATGAGGCAGACAGATGATAAAGTTTAGCAAAAACTGAATTCAGCAATTCTTTGTAGTATTTCCTCTGTCTAATTTTTGTTCTCCAAAAACATTTTTGGCATCTTTTTGTAGATTAGATTCTTCTTTTTAAGGCACTTAATGCCACTGAGCTAAATTCCCAGCCCCTGTAGATTAGATTCTTCATTTGAGGTCCCTCCTAGGTTTCCCCACTAATTTTTAAATGGAAGTTGCTGTTACTTTTACCCTCAATCACTCAGTGTTATCTTGTGAATTAGTTTCTTATTGCAATAGCAGTTCATTATCTATTAAAATAAATGGGACAAAGGCTAGTTATCTAAAACTAGTGAGGAAATAAGAGCTACTTGGATCAAAGACCATCATATGACAAGGAGGTTGAAAGTAATCTAAATATGAATAATCCATGGTGTGTATAAAGGTAAGTGAGCCCAAAATTGAAATATGAGCCTGCATCTGCATGTTTTTCCTTTTCTGTCTTCTGTAAACTACATGGAATCCATTTGGAATGTTATTGGTCCTGCCCTTCTTCCCATCCAGACAGCATGGCCCTTCCTTCTCAATTTTTAAGAATACAAAGTATCATCACAAGATAGAAAAAATTAAGTCTTTTACCTTCTGTGTTTTTAAATCCAAGTTTTTATGTTAAGAGAAAAGACTGTCAATGAAACATGAAATTAAGAAATCAATATCTAGAGTACCTGTAGTGAGAAATATTTTTCTTTGGTGGTTGATCCTTTCCCATGAGGCTTTTACACATGGGATGGTAGTGAGGATGACTGGTAGCCTGGTTGAAAAAAGAAGACTTTACAATACTTCTAGGGATTGTATGTCATATTTTTTTTCTAGAGGCAGTAGTCTGCCAAGAAAATGAGACAGAGCTCAATGTAAAATTTTAAAAACCAGATGTGAAATGAAATTAAAGGAGCCACATAGTTACAACCTAGATAATTCCCACTAGTTTGAAGTAAATTTCCTCTGACAATAACTACAAAATGTAGATGAGGATGCATTCTTTTTTTGAAAAAGCATTTAATATTCTAATATTCTTTTACATAAAAGGTCTTTGTATACACATAACACAGTAGAAGCAGATCTTTAGATTACTCAGATATTGGAATTAACAGGAAAAAATTTTAAAACTAATTGTTTTTACTATTTTAAACAAATTATAGAAAAATTGAGCTAAGTGGATGCCAGAGATGAATTCATTATGGAAACACTGGTTTTAGGAAAATAGTCATTGTAGTGTATAAAAATATGTATCAAAGCAGATTTATTGGATAGTCTTAGAAAATGACATAAACTTGAAGCAATGCAGGACGTGTGAATAGAAATTGCTTAAAAGAATCAGAGAGTTAAAAAATCTTTTTAAGGTTAGAGAGCACTAGACATGTGTCATGTATTAAGTGGTCTAATTTTGTATGTTTGGATTCCCCCAAGCTTGAAAGAGAAAAATGAGGAAGGAGGAATATTGGAAGTGATTGTGAATGAGAAATTTTCAAAACTGAGAAGAGATATGAACCCATACTTTAAACACCTCAGTGAATTGGAAACAGTATAAATGTAAGGGAAATCAGTAAGAAGGCCAGAAGAGTCAAATGAGAATGGTATATCTATTCCACCACTTCTTTTCAGTGAAACAAGTACAAAAAAATTAATATGAGGTACAAAGACTAAGACATAGAAATAAACTGTTTTCGAATGATCCATTATACACATTTGTACACAAAAATTGAAAACATATACATAAAATGTAAATTTAGCAAAATTGCTCAAGAAAACATAACACAAATCAAGTATGTATTCACATTCTATTAACAAAAAATTAAAATATGATTATGGATGATGTGGTGCATTGCACATTTATAATCTAGCTAATTTAGGTGCTGAGGCAGGAAGTAAATTCAAGGCCAGACTAACCAATTTAGTGAAACTCTACATCAAAAATCAAATGCTTTTTAAAGGTGAGGAGCTACAGCTTAGTGATAGAGTGCTTGCCTAACATGTATAAAGCCTTGGGTTCAGTTCTTAATACAACAATAACAATAAAAAAGAATAAATTTTAAAATCAAGCTTTTAAATTTCTGTTGTTTTGTGTCTCAAATGGAGCAATGAATGAAGACATCCACTCACTCACCTAATCCAAATTTTTTAAAAATATAAAAATATTTGAAATAGTAGTTTGTAAGGCAATAAACATAAGGAAGAGGAGAATGATTCCTAAAAGATAAGCAGCAGTCAAGATGTGTCCTATAACTGTCTTAGTTCAGTTGTCCTAGTTCACATCCTTGAGGGAGTTTCTTGGTTATGAAACAGGGAAGGGAAAGCAAGAGGAGCCTTGTGATTCCCTGAAATGAAGAAATAGAGTAAAAATTTCTGGGAGACAAGAATATTTACAGGTCCTCAGAAAGAAAACCATAACTGAGAAAGCCTCACAGAAAGCAAAGTTCAGAGATCAGCAGTGGGTACCCCTGAGTATTCAGCTGCATACTGATTAACAAATGCATATCAGAAAGGTACTTGAGACAGAAGAAAAATCCACATGAAAAGATCAGAATTAACAATGCCTACTGCTTCCCGATTGCCAGCAATCTGATCTATGAGCCACTTGTGGGACACTGGGTAGAATACATAGACATTCTTACCCAAAGAGCGGGAAATAAGTGTTCTAAAGTGAACGGTGCTTTAGAGCAGATAGTATGCATTGGATAATTTCAGTTCCTCTATATTTACTTAAACATGTTTGGTGGATTAAGATGGTCTATTTTGGAGAAGATCCCTTGCAGTTGATATAATAAATATTCTGATTTAATATTCTGTCTGCAGACATCTACCAAGTTTATTTGATCACAGATTTAGTTTAATTCTAATACTGATTTGTTGATTCTTTGTCTATTTGTAAGAGTGGGGTATTAAGGTCCCCTAATGCAATTGTATTAGTGCTTATTTAGTTTTCCTTGTCTGTGTTTGTGTTTTGTGTAGTTGGGTGAACCTATATGTGCTGCGTATGTATTTATGTATTTATCTCTGCTTCAGTTTTGCCCCTTAAGTATATAGTGACCTTCTTTGTCTCTTTTGATCTCTTTTGGCTTAAAGTTTGTATTGTCTGAAGATAGAGTATCTATTCCTGCTTTTTTCTGGGTTCCCATGGCATAGAGGATTGTTTTCTTCTCTTTGATTTTTAGTCTATGAATTTCTTTTTGGGTTAAATGTGTTTCTTCTATACAGTATATGGTTGGATCTTGCTTCTTGATCCATTCTGCCAGTCTGTTTCTTCTGATAGGTATCTTGATGATTATTACGGTTATGCATTGACTTTTCTTTTCACGTGTGTGAGTAACAGAACATTTGCTGTTCAAGAATAAAATTCATAGTTCTTCTAGATAAAAATACATTAAATAGTCAAATATCATTTTTGACAGGTTGGTTTTATTTTCCAAGTACAAAAGGATTATAAGTGTATTTTCATTTTTAATCAGATTTATTGGTACATTTTAGATATACATAATAATCACATTCATCATAGATAATCAAAGATCATTGTTCAACTATTTGTTTTCTTTTCTTTACCAACTCTAAACTCATTTGTTTAATAATTTTTAAATCTTGATACACAGTTTTCGAATTACACTCTTAAAGCCATCTTCAAAGTATCTCAAGTTGCAAACTAACCTGTTACTGTTGAGGAGGACCCAGCACCACCAAAGAACTGAAGGACACTTAGAGAAGTTTTTCACACCAGCAGAATCAGAGGAGTTAGATGCCCCAAAGTCTGAAACTTAAGTATTTCTTGTTATTTCTTTGATAGGTGTTTTAGACAGGAACGCATAGGTTGAATTACAATGGCAGAATGGGGTGTGGCTAGACAGTTACTTTGTAACTTGCTGGCCATTTCCATCTTAGGTTTTGGTTTCCCAAAGTTTTGTTATTCTCATCATTCCCCCACTTTAATGCCCTGTAAGGTCTTATAGGGCAGCACAATCTCCAAGGGGGCTATAGGGGTAGAGTGTCATGATCTAAGGAGTGGCCCATCTAGTGTCTGAGTTCTCTATGGATCTCATTAGGGTATTCAGGAGACATGGCCCTATTTTCACAAGTAGCAGGACGGACAACAGTGGCCCTGCTAGTGGCAGGAGCTATTATTATGTTCATTGACCTGGTATCCAATTCCAGCCTTCTCCTAGTTCTTCCCTTCTACAATGGATCCTGTCTCTTTGTACCTGACTGATGTATATAATAGCAACATTCTTTCCTAGGAAGATGTGTGTACCACTCTTCTCTGTGGTGGAGTCTAGGATATACCTGTTTTGTAGAGTTACAGTTGCCAAT